CTCAGGAAAAAAAACAATCTCAGAATGAACCTTCCTTATCTAAGAAATCAGTCCCCTGTTTTCTCAGTACCTTTAAAAATGTCTGTCACTTATAGAATAAGAAAATCCTCCCCTCTGGACTTCTTGATATTATATAAAAGTTCACAAGCTAACGGAAAAGCGCTCCAGAAAAAGCTTTATTCATGAATAAGGATATGGAGGAAAGCGCTCTGTATGCGCCCGGACTCAATTCTACCAGCAAAGCACAGCTCTGTCAGATGCCACCTGACAGAGTGGGTGACCCTACACTGGAATTAGCAGTTCCTCCACTAATAAATTCCTCTTTTAAAAAATTCACTATTGGGTGCATGGGTGGCTCAGTGGGTTAAGCTTCTGCCTTGGGCTCAGGGTCCTGGGATTCAGCCCCACATCGGGCTCTCTGCTCAGCAGGGAGCCTGCTTCCCCCTCTCTTTCTCTCTCCCTGCCTCTCTGCCTCCTTGTGGTCTGTGTGTGTGTGTGTGTGTGTGTCAAATAAATAAATAAAATCTTTAAAAAAAATTTTTTTAAATAAAATAAAATAAAAAATTCATTACAACTGCAGTTCCCAAAGGGTGTTCCTTAGAAAACTAATGCCACAAGGATGCATAGTCAACTAAGTTTAGGAACTCCTAACAGTGGCAGAAGAAAGTAGAAATGGCATCCTTAGTTAATGGTTTAGTGTATTTTCAAGGTTAACATTTAAGTACCATGTAAATTTCAGTTCAGCTCATTAGGATTCCAGTGTCAGGGGAGAGTGAAACTCCAGCAGAAAGGCAGAGAAAGAAGAGTGCATTAGGCAGGGGCCCACGCAGTCTTGTCATGAGCGATGCCTACACTCTGGTCTGAGGAACCAGCAAGGCCAGGCAACAGAAGTGGTGGTGGGAAGGAATCCAAGGCGACTTAACATCTCACTGCTCCAATCGCTCTCACTTGAGCAATTTCAAGGTCAAGTGCCTTTATTATAGTCATTCATTCAACCTTTTAGCTACAACAGTGGTCAAGCAGGGTGTTGAAGCTGGAGGAGCAGGAGGATAAAACCTGGGCCTCAAGGCACTCAATCAAAATATTATCTGAACAAAGCAGCTCATATCCTGGTGGGAAAGTCATTTCCATAGTGAGAACACCATGCCACAGGAACAGAAAGTACAAGCAAAGGAAGGCCTGTGTCCACTGGTTGGTCAGGTTATACAATACCTTGTGTAGAATTCTTTAAGGAAACATACATGATACTTAAAGTGCTTTTAGCCAAGCGGCTTTCTAATTGAGCTGCTATGGACATGAAGACTATGACTTTATTCACAAAGTATCGTACAGAGGATGTAGCTATATAAAATAATCACTGACTCTTCTCTCCACCACCTTCAATCTTACAGATACACAAACTCACACAAAGAAGAGTTCAATATTTTCTTCAAGTTTATAGCTCCTGTCCTTGGCACACAAAGGGTACACACTAGGCAGTGCCATCTCCCAGACCACAGCTTCCCTCACTAGCCAGCACTGTCCCTCCTGTAGGCCAAAGGAAAAAAAGGACTGAAATTGGTTGCAAATTTTCTCTTTTCAAAAAGTCACTACATCAGGGGTCCCTGGGAGGCTCAGAAGGTTAAGTACCTGCCTTCAGCTCAGGTCATGATCCTGGGGTCCTGGGATGGAGCCCCGCATCAGGCTCCCTCCTCAGCAGGGAGTCTGCTTCTCCCTCTCCCTCCTTCCCCTGCTGGAGGGCACTCTTTCTCTCTAATAAACAAAAAATCTTTTTTAAAAAAGTCACTGAATCACAGCGGAATATAACAACATTTTACCAGAACACGTTTATAGCAAATAATGAAATAAGTATAAGATGGAAAAAAATCCAGTAAGCAACTTAAAAACACTGACCCCTCTACCAAATTTTCTTTAGGAAAAAAAGAAAGCCTGCCTGCCAAGATCAAAAGTGGAAAAGTTCAAAGATGCTCTGCAGTCTGGGGAGAGGGGAGAACTCCGAGAGACTGGTTTCCCTCCCAATCCTGAAACACACACAGACTGCTGGCCCACAATTAATCATTCAGCACTTTGAAATGATCAAACATTAATGAGGAATGTGTAAGACCTATTATAAAAAATTAAAAGGTCTGAATAAATGAATAATCATGCTGCAACCCTAGAAAGGGAGGCAAAATGTTAGGAAGACATCCATCACCTCTAAGTCAATATATACCTTTAACACAATTGCTACCAAAACCAGCCAAATGATATAAAAGAGGATTCCACAGGACACAAGACTTAGGGGAGGCAAAGTTCAGACTTTACCAGGTAATAACTTACAAAGCAAGAAATGAAATTATATTTACTCATACAAAAAGAGGTATCTAGACCAAAAGAAAACATAGAAACAAACCCGCTTACATGTAAACTATTTTGAGATAAAGCCAGGCATCATCAAGATGAGGGAACATGGAAGCATTATTTTGTAAATGGTGCTGATTAGCCAATAAGAAGGGGAGGAAAAAACTACTGTGCTCTGTCCTCTGAAAAAAGCCAGAGAAATCCAGGTAGCATGAAGTGTTAAACAATTTTTAAAAATTAAAAAAGAAAATGAACTAATTAGTGACCAGATTTTTAGGGGGGAAAAAAAGAAATCAAGAAAAAGAACCACAGATTAAACTACATGAAAATACAGAAGTGCTATATAACAAACAGTGACAGTAACACAGCTAGGAAAACAGTGGACAGAAACACGACAAAGCAGCACCGCCCATATCACCTAACAGGCAGGCCCCCGTCAACGGACAGATCAGCACCAAGACTGCGATCAGGGGGCAAAGGACCCAGATAACTGAGATGAAAGGCAAGAATTAAAACCACAAAAAGAGAAAGCAGTCAGTATTAAGTCCTCAGGCAGAAAGCCAATTTTCCATACGATAATGTGTAAAAGTTATCAAATGTTATAGAGATGGTCTTGAGAGGGACAAAGTACCACGGAACCAGATCTTAGAACTGAACTCACGCATTTCTGAGGCAGGCATGGACTCTCTTAGCACACTCCCCACACCCAGACATGAGGCTTCACGTCAGTACATTCTCAGAAGACTTGTCCACTGAGGCCAGCTAGCTTCAAGAAAAATGTCAGAGACTGTCCTGGATATTTCTAAGACAATTAAAAAAAATTAAAGCAAAGGAAAGAGGTGCATTTTGGAAACACCTGTGTGGTGCTGAACCAGGCCATCTGCTTTCTACAACAGACCAAGTACTTCTCCAGGTAAGCTCTCCATAAGCAATTGTTAAGTGAGGCAAATGTGTCTTAGGCCTCAATTTGTTGCACACAATCTAAACACAACCCTGACCTATAATTTGCATTCCAAACTATAACATTAAAAAAAAAGTGTGCACACATTTCTCTTACTAAACATCTACTATTCACAAGTAAAATACTGTCTGACTTCTGGGTATGAGAAAGGAAAGTTGGGGTGGGGGGAAACCAGATGCTCAAAGCAAGATTTTAGTGCACATATTATGTATGGAAAGTCATCATTCTACACTTGTCTTTTTCCTCTAAAAGTGCTTCATTAAACTTAAGTGAGAATTTACCCACAAAAATGAAGTGAAAAATGATGAATCAGAATGAATCTCAGCTCTTGCAAAGTTCATATCCAGAAGGATTTTACCAGACCCCACTAGAGTCACAAGCTAGGGAAGAAGTGTAGCTAAGGTAATCAGAGACTAGATTTATTCTGACAAGAAACTGCCTGGGATCATTTGTCAGTATTAGGGATTTGACCAAAGAGGTTCACTTTGTTCTTTCAAATAGTTTTTACCCATTTATCACCTTTCCTTGCTTAAAAAAAGAAAAGAAAAAACAGGGGAGAAAAGATTACTATCTTATACTTGGAAAAGTTCTTCCAAAAAAGAAGTAATATTTTGGAAGCTTCTTCTTCTTCTTTTTTTTTTTTTTTTTAAGATTTTATTTATTTATTTGACAGAGAGAGATCACAAGCAGGCAGAAAGGCAGGCAGAGAGAGAGGAGGAAGCAGGCTCCCTGCTGAGCAGAGAGTCCGATATGGGGCTCGATCCCAGGACCCTGAGATCATGACCCGAGCCGAAGGCAGCGGCTTAACCCACTGAGCCACCCAGGCGCCCCTATTTTGGAAGCTTCTGAATGAAAAAGTAATTTGTGAAGAATCACTAGCACACAATACAAGCTAACCAGATAATAAAACATCCTTCCACCATTCCGAAGTGTCCTCTGCAACTCAAGAACTTGAACGCTACCATCAGGTCAATGAGTGAGTGACTGCAGACTGGCCTTTCACGCACAGTTTTCACTTGAGATCTCTGGGGGGGCTTTCATTTCTAAGAACATTTCTGAGTATCGGCTTCTTAAGCTCTTTTATGCTGGCAGTATGCTGCTTTCAAAATTCAAACTTTAAGTCTTCTTAGTCACCTGAATCTGGGCAGCTCAGAGTCTTTCCAGTGGACAGACACATACTTATGTGACAGCTTGATTTCCTCTCACGATGTCCCCAAGGTGAAAAACACAAATGCAGTAGATCCTCTATCCGTACAACCCTAAGCCAGGGTTTATCTCAAAACGGCCAGTCATATGATTGTTTGATTGTACTAGTATACTATCTAATCCTCCTCCCCGCAAAATAATGGAAGCAATCTAATACCCAGTAATAGAAGGACAGTTATGTATTTTTGGTTGATCTACTGGGGAAAAGATGACACAGCCATCAATCTGATCGCTCACTTGGCAAAGAGTGACTGAACCCTGCTATGCGCCAGATGCTGGGGGAAGAGCATTTACGGAAGACACACAGGCCCTGCGCTCAGAAATCTCAGTCTAAGGAAGAAGACAGATATTAAAACAAATCTCATAACTTCATACATAAATACAAAGTACGTTAAGTGCTATGAATGAGAACTGATAAGATACCCAACTGAGATCAGGGCAAACTGTAGAAGTGGTATCTGACCGGACCCTGTAGGATGAATCAGGGTCTGACAGGTGGAGAGCTGGACGCTAGAGGATGGGGAGAACAGACCCTAATGTGAGGAAGAAGGGGCAAGAGGTGACACCAGCTGAGGGTCCACTGGTCTAGTCCAGGGGCGAGGGAAGGGACCTGGAGCAGCACAGTAACAGAAGACACAGACAAGTGAGCAGATGAAAGTGTATCCAACAGAAAACTGACAGGAGGTCATGACTGGCACAGAGAAGAACAAGAAACAACATGAAAAGATGGGCAGGACACAATGTTTCATTTAAAAAGTAGGGACCTCAAATAATACATGATTCAGTTAAGTATAAATAAATAAAACAAAATTTTATATATATATATACACATATATATGCTGTAATGTAACATGACTCTTATACTTGTAAAACTACTTCCCAAAGGAAATGTATTCCTAAATTATGGTATACCCAACTGGTAACATAACCACTAAAAGCTCTGACCACAACTTGTATCTATAGACTCAAAAAAGAGATCATGGCATATTAAATTTTCAGTATAAAATATATATTTGCAGACACAGAACGATCAAGCTACAGTTTAAAAAGCTAAACATCTTAGAAAACTGTATTTGAGATGGCATAGTGTTTTGTTTGCCAATACAACACAAAACAGTGTATTTTATATACATACAGAGAAAAAGAATCGGGACAATTAAAATATGTAATCATAAGGGTAACACACATAAAAGAAGGTAACGATATATACACATCTGCCGCAAGTACTGATGTCTGGATAGGAACCACTCTTACCTTTCTTTAGCGAGTGCAGCGCTGACGTGAAGAAGGTCAGGTAACCAGGAGGCTGGGGCGAGCCACTGAACTCAAAGTAGCCGAGGACTCCGGGCTGCGGGAACAAGAGCAGAATGAGGTGACTGAGGGACCGGCGGCCACTGTGTCACAGGAATATTTTAAATCGGGACATGCCATTATTATTATTTGGCAACTGCAATTCGTTGTGTTTCATTTTTTAAGAAGCCTAACCACATGAACAAAATTGCGGGACAGGACTGAGCTTTCCCTCCATCTAGACAACCTGCAGGGTAAGGCAGGGAGACACAGAGCATTTAGAGAGGCACTGAGAGCTGAAACTTCCTTCCTTCTCCCTAAGTGGGTCTCTCCACCCTCAGAGCACAGTTCTCCTAGGTCCCTGACTAGAAACCTCACCGTCAAGTTCAAGTACTCACGCCTTTTATCCAAGTGTCTCCAGGTAAACGAAATCAGTGATTCCGGTTTTACGAAAGGTTTCTTCGTAACCTTTCTCAGATTTCTTCCTCAATCGCTTCCTCCCATTCACACCAAACATGCCTTCACACTTACGGAAATCAGGTTAAATGAGATTGGCTCCACTGGTGTTCATGGTCATCCTTCCAGGGGCATTTTCCCCCCACATCCAGACCCCCGCCCCCAGCCTGTACAATGGCAACCGTCCTGTCTGGTCAGGTCAGTCTGCAGAGGGTCCATCTCTTACCCTCTTGCTCCTCTAGTCCCACAAGCTTCTTTCCACCTGCCCATACCATTTCTCTAAGCTTTAGCACAGAACACTCCTGCGATCTGCCAAACCAATTAATTGTCCCCTACCAGACATATTCTGGCTCCCAGGTCAGGATAATTGCTTCCTTCTCTGAAGGCCCTGTGGCACAAATTCTGTCTGTGATAATAGCATCTGTCCGAAAAGCCAAACCGTGAGATCCCTGGGGAAAGTGCTGGGCCTGGAGTCTGATGCTGAATGGGCTTGGGTGGACCCTTCAGTGGGAAGCCTCAGTCTCCTTCTCTGGCAAATGGGGACATTTCATCACAGGGTTATTGAGAAGAATGAGCTTGATAAGGCACTAGGCAAATGTAAAGACTCCTTTTTGGCCCTAAAACACGCTCTTAGTAAGTAACTGAACTGATTTGATCGCTGGGACAAAATCAGATCCCAAAGGTAAAGCAGAAGTTTAATCTCTGGGTAAAATTTTACATCAGTATATTGCTAAAAAAAAAAAAAAAAAAAAAAAAAAAGGAAAGTTCTGATCTGTAGTGGAACACACACTCTTTCAAATCTAAAGCACTTGCTTATTTTAAGATTCAATTCTAAATAAATCAACTGGTTTTTAGAAACTGACAGAATCAGAATGGTTAATCCTAACATCTAAAAAATGAAATCTTTAGACATTCTAGTCAATCAGTTAATATTGGGCATAAAAGATAACAGAAATGAACACAACAGAAAGATAACAGACTCATTCCGGTTTCTTTAAATTCTGACCAATCTTCCAAACCAAAATCAAGTAGAATAAATTCACCCTACATATTAAGAAATGTTCCGTGGCTAAAAATTAAAGGAGGTCAATGTCAGCCCTCTTCCCACTTACGTTAACAGGAAGGGGCACAGGGCCCAGGAGCGTGCACCTGTCTACACGCGTGGTACAGCTGCACGTCTCATGTATACATATGCACACGTGTACACACAGTAATGGAAGGAAGGGAAATGGGAATTCTGAGTCTTCAAGGAAAACCCAAATTCAACGTTTCAAAACGAGTATCGGGCGGACCGACTGCAGGGGTCCTCTGTGCACACCTCCCCAGAGTAAGGGTTTACTCTTGTTGACAGCTTCACAGCTGCGGTTTTTCAAGTGCCTTCGTGACTGGGATGAAGGAGCCACATCTTCAAGAGAACAGGCATTGCAATTTTCGAGCACTGTGGCCAAAGCAATCCCATAAAAAATACAAAGCAAACAATCTCATTTGCAAGGTTATGTTCACTTCTCTCTGCCACAGAAATGAAGACCGTAAGAATCAACAACTTCAGCGGATGGTACAAAGCAACAGAAACTGTAAAAAACGAGCCATTCACAACACAAGGAGCACGCAAAGTCTATTTCAAGAGTTATTTTTCAAATATTGATAATACCATTAACGGTCTGTATTTAATTTTGAAAACTGGCAGGTTTGAGAACGAAACTTAAAATATTTCAGACAAGAAAGTGCATATTCATGCACAAGGACCTTTCTAGGTCCGGGCCCACAGTTTGCTCAGCAGCAAATAAACCCAGGGCCCACTGCCAGGCAGACGACACTGTCCTGGCCTCGAACACCTGCGAGGCCCTCTCAAGTGAGCCGGCAGGGCACGCAGGCCGAAGCCCTGCCTGCCAGGTACGAAGCCCGTACACGGGCTGTGCCTCCTCACTCTGATGCTCACCAACATGTGACGGTCTTCTTCCCCTAGTGGCCTACTGGTCCACTCCTGGATGCTTAACTGGCCCCCAGGGGGAAAGCTCACAGGAGTTCCACTGCCTGCGCGTACTCGGGACCCACGACAGGAGGACGCCTGTGTGACCTCCTCTCCTACCACTCTGCCGTCTGCTCCGGCTCCACCAGTCTGAGTCCTTCCCTAGGACCTCTAACTTACTGTTCCTGCCTCCTGGAAATTTCCTCAGGGCTGGGTCACACACAGGCCTCACTCGAAGTTTCTGCTGCAACGTCCTTTCCTCAGAGAGGGCTTCCCTCTCTTCTAAAACAGTTATACCATCCCTCCCTGCCCTTGTGCCTACCACATCACCCTCCTTGATTTCCCTTTGGGCATTGATCTGAAATGACCTTGTACATTAGTTTCCTAGAACTGCCCTAACAAATTACCTCGAACTTGGCCTCGATCAACAAATCTGTTCTCACAGTTCTAGAGGCTAGCAGTCCGAAATCAGGAGGGCAGCAGGGCCGTGCTCTCTGAGGAGGCTCTGAGGAAGAACCCTTCCTTGCCTCCTCCCCAGTTTTTGGTGGCTCCAGACAGTCCCGAGCTTGTGGCTGCATCCCTCCCATGCCTGCCCGCGGTGTCACACGGCCTTCCGGCCTGTGTCTCTGTGTCCTCTCCTCTTCGTCTACAGAACTAGTTATTGGGTTTAGGACCCACTCTAAGTCCAGGATGCTTTCATCTCGAGATCCTTAACTAACGACACCTGTAAGGACCCTATTTCCCAATAAGGCCAATTCTGAGGTTCCTGGCAGCTAGGAATTTTGGGAGGACACGACTCAACTCCCTGCACCTTGTCTGTGCTCCGGTCTGGTGTTCATCTCGGTGTTTACCTCCAGGAAGCAGAGGGTCTCTCTAGTTTCTCACTACATAGCCGCTTCAGACAGTACCTGGCACTGAGCAGGCACAAAACAAACATTTGTTAACGAGTGACAGAATGGAGACAAAAAAATAAATGACACAAAGCTCCTCCTACAATTTAACAAGAATAAAACATGAGGAGTACCTACTTACAACGTGACCCAGTTTGCGTGCTTTTAATTCCATTCTGTGGGGGACAGTATATTCAGCACCTGCTCTAATGAGGGGGCTGGAAACGGGCTATTTATAGGAGGCCAGCAAATCCTCGTCAGCATAAAATATTTCTCTGCTAAGTGAACACCATTCGCAGCGCAGCTTGAATTTTAGCAGATGGTATATACACCCTCTAGTGGCCAGAAGAACAGTGAGCTCGGGGTGTTTCTACTCAACGGCACTTGAAGTGTTTCTGTACTGATGTTAATAAACACCTAGAAAATTCAAAACTATCTAATTCACAGTGCTCTAAAACTATGAGTTGGGAGAGGCAGAGCAGACTTTCACTAACAAACAAAAGGATAACAACAGGTGCCAGGCATTTTACTAGGTTTTTCTCCAAAAGGCTCAGGTTTTCTATCTCTTGGCAATTTTCCTAAGCCCCTGCTTTCCCCTCCAAAAGATTCCCAAGATTCTTCCCCATCCCACTTTAATTTAAAACAATGTGGTTTTCCAAAACCACTAAGAATAAGAATAAGGATTAATGGATGTATGCAGAATCACTGATCTTACGTGGATAAATTACAGAAAATTTGTGATAAGAATTAGAAACTATTTTAGCTACAAATACAAGATAAATGTTCTAAATAATACTGTTGGCATTTGGTGGGTAGGTTACAAGGCACAAATCAGATGATTCTGTCAAGTGCTTTAAAAAATAAAAAAGAAAACATTATTGATATAGGAGCTACTGATATCTAAGTCAAATAACTAAAAAAATACTAAAATGAGAACAGTCATAGAACTCGTGACTTTGCGAGTGACCTTCTCATCACTGAATGCCATTTCCTGCCCACTCGACTCAACAGTCACCAAAATGACAATGACCCTGGCATGACTGTCTGTGCGGTCCACAAGAAATAAACGACACTTTCCTGTCCGTATCTTAAATAGGCAGGAAGAATCCTCGAGGAAGAGGGATTCTATGATTGGCATGAATGAAGAAAGAAGAATTTCCTAACATGGTTTCCAACAAGAGGACTTCAAGCTCTTCTTCTCCCTCTGCAGTGTCCACTGGCAAGTTTACTTTAGTTTTTAGCTGCATTCACTATGAGGCAGGTAGGATTTTACTTACTAACTTATTTTTAAAGAATCTCTACACCCACCATGGTGCTCAAATTTACAACCCCTGAGATCAAGAGGCGTATGCTCTACTGACTGAGCCAGCCAGGTGCCCCAAAGCAGATATGATTTCAGTGCATCTCTGAGAAGAAAAATCTAGACCTTACCCTGCCTTGATACTGTGATTATCACACATAGAACACCCAATCAATAACAGGAAATGGTGAAACCCTGCTGCTTTAACAGCAGGTCAACAGCCATGGCCCTATCCTCAATTACTATTTATTCTTAAAAACCGTTCCTAAAAATGAAGGGGGGAAAGTTACAGTCCAATTAAGAAGCAAACACCTTCAAAATTTTTCCATCCTGAAAGAGAAAAGACTGAAAAATGACATAAAATAGCTAAATGCCCAAAGTTTTAACTTCTAGATCTACAGTGACGTTTCAACTCCAAGACCTTAAACATTTCTTCAGATACAAGTGAGAATTTGGGGAGCCAGAAGCCCTGGGCTACTGGCCAGTCTGCACTGAGGGTTAAATTACACCCCTTGTGTCCCCCACCTGCTTACTCTGTTCAGAAGGACCCATCATTTCTATCTTGCACGGCTAGTAGGAAGATCAGAAGCAAAAGCACGTCAACACTGGAGGGCACTTTTGCAATGCGGTTTACACATTCTTTGTTGGCTAATAACGAGTAATTTATGCTGGAATTTACAGAAACAAATATTTATAATATTCGCCCTGCAATGTATTTCTGTGATATTCCATAAATCAAAGGCAAAATCATTTTCCTAAAAATTGCATCCAGGCTCAGTGTCATCTTCTACATATAGAAAACTAGAGTTAATGATGAGCAAATGAGTTTGGGCAGGTTTGAGAGAGCAAGTCAAATACAATGTTTTACACTGGTTTACACATTTTACTGCTTTAGGTAATTCAATAACAAATCATCTGAAAGAAGTTTTTGGAAGGATTCATCTGTAGGACTTAAAAAAAATTCAAACCAAGATAAAATTAGAGCATTTTTCTTTAAAACAGCAACATAAGCATATGTATATATATGGTCAGGATACACATAGTAAAATAAAAATTTATGTTAAAAGTTATTACTTTCAGATATCATCACTTCCCAAGTAATTAACACTAATGGCACAATTTTATGATGGTCCAAACTGCTCACGAATAAGTGGATTAGAGACAAATTAATTTACAATTGATCAGTATAGTTTTTTTAATGAGGGGACAATTACCAAATGCATTTCCTCAAGGTGTCACAAACACACCTAGAGACATAAGCAAAAAGCAGTGCCACTCTAACAAACCTCAGAAGTGCCACAAAAACATGAAATCGTTACTTTAGCCCAATTCTGGTAAACTTAAATTTAAATACACTTGATACTGAAATCCCTATTTAAAAAACATATAAATTAGGAGATAAGGCTCTTGATCAAAAGATGTACCTTCTATAGTAAGATTTCTTTAAATTAGCACATCCTCAACATATTTAGGAAGCATGTTTTGCAGGGAGGGGCAGTAACAATTTGATTATAAGGCTGAACATCACGGACAGCTCTACTGATGACCAACCAACTCATTCCTGTCTCTAGTCCCCCAGAGATAACACTCCAGGATTTTCCAGTCAAGGCACTGCCTGATTTTCATATTGTCTCTGCCACTGTGATGAGCAGAAAAGCTTGCAACAATGAGGTTGTAGCATTCTGTGTGCTGCAAAAAAGATGTGTTTGTACTAACGCCTGTGAAGCATCTTCCTAAGGCCTCATTTGGGAAAACAGTAATTTACAACAGAAGTTCTCAAATGAGGCTATTTTGTCCTCCAAGGGGATATCTGGCAATGCCTGGCTATTTTTGGTTGTCACAGCTAAGGGGGGGTGGGTGCTACTGCTATCTAGTAGGTGGTGGCCAAGAATGCTACTGAACATTCTGCAAAGTGTGGGAGAGCCCCCACCTCCAAAAAACTACCTGACTCCCAACGTCCGTAATGCCGAGGTTGGGAAACCTTAATTCAGAGGAATGTCCAGAAGCATACTGTGCTCTAGAGTGGGGCCTCCAAAAATTCCTTTACCTCTCCTCTTTATTCGACTCTCTAAGCCGTGGTGGTGGTTTCATTTCTGGATCCAGAATTTCGCCATTATGTTATCTTACAGAGAGTGTGCACGAAACCGAGACCATCTAGGCAGTGTCAGTATGTTTCACAAGATGAAGGGTTTCACAAGTGCCACACTGGCCTTGCCTCCCGAGTTCTTTCACCATTAATCAAATATTGTCTCTTATCAACCAGACAATTTCATCTCAGTGAGAAGCAGCCCCGTGAAAGATAATACTAACATGATAAAAGCTATCTACCACTTCAGGAGGAAGCCTTCTAAAGGCTGACAGGCCATACAGGGTCCCATCTTGGCCGTACCCTCTTGGTCCTATTTTCAAGGCAGTCTAAACCTTGCTGCGCATCACTCTAACTCAGCGGGCCACCGAAACACACCCTTCAGTAATGTGACCAGCACGTCAGTGAGTCTGATGGGAACTCAGTGTCAAACTCGGAGCATCATTTCTGAAAGCACCGCTGACAAGCAGATTCAGAAAATGCAGAGGCTAAAGGTAGAAAACCAGCCTTGCTGCTCAGTCATGAAAGGGAACTTGCCTCTCCCCTGCAGGCCCAACCACAGAGACACTACGGAGGCCATAAACAAAATAAGATCAGAAAGAGCTCTGATACGGATGTTATCGTGCATTGTCTCAAAAAAAAAAAAACAAACAAAACTTCCCCAACCAATAACTGACAAACCTTCTTCTTCCTGCCTCTTTCCCCCTCTAAACCTCATGGAAGCCAAAACAGTCAGGAGGGATTACATAAGCCAATTCCCTACATTCAGAGATGAGGAATCTGTGCAAAATTCAGAAGTCAGAGACTTGCCCACGTCAGGGCTAATATCCAGGCCCCCGAAGTCCTAGTCGAGTCTTACCCCTTATCGCGTGTCCCCTGCTAAGACCTGGCTCAGAACTCTGGATACAAATCTCCAACAGGGCTGAAAAGAATACTGAAGTTGCCTTTCAGTGCTCTTATTATAAGGCTAAATGATCTCAATTTTTTGCCATACGTTTCTTTGAAAGGGTAAACACATAATATACAGTGTTTATTGATGTGCCATTGCTCCCCTGCCATTTCTCCCTTTATTTTTTAGGAAAAACTGAGTGAAAATGTAATGAAAAAAAATAGAGGGTTTCAAGGAAAACTAAGCACAGTGTCCCACAGAACTCCCTACAGAGCACACCTGAAGGAAGACCTCTTCGTCCCTGCAGGTCATTTTTTATCATCTTAGTTATAAAACAAAAGATTTCTTATAGAAGTAGGGAGTTCCAGCAAGCACTGTGTCCATGTCGAGTTCTCTCAATAGTGCTAAAAATCCAGGATTTTCCTGTCATGCCATTTCTGTGGATAAGTTTTCCTGTATTGGGACTACATCCTGTAGGCATTTTCATGTCTTATTCAATCCCTGTCTATAGATAAAGGCACGGAGTCTTAAAGGATTAAGCAGCCCATAGGCCACACAGCTAACAAGTGACAGAGTTCAGTGTCCAAGTCCTGATTCTTCACCATTCTGCCGCACCGCCTCTGTGACCCCGTCGTCTACGCAAACCTACATGAACACCCACTTACCACACAACTACTGCAGCTAAGAGTTAAATACCCTGTTCCAGTCCCCTGACGCCATGCAAGTGAGTGATCTGGCCCATGCCACAGAAGGAGTTAGTGTTGCCAAAGGGACCGGGCCCAGGCCCCCAGGGTGGTTCCCAGCTGCCAGCTTGTCCCGGCAGAACAAGAGACAAGCCTGTGAAGGGCACAGAAATCCATCCTGTATCCACGTAAGAGGAAGGACACATTCACTCTAATGTACACTTGAGAACTTACAAGCAGGATAACTAGACAGTGACGCTGCTGCTTAGAGAACCCACGTACAGTTAACACACAGTGTTTCTAACATGGCTGAAAAGCTGTAAATGACATCCCAGTGAAAGAAATTCATGTCCGATCTGCATAAACTCTCCCTAGTGCAAAAGGTAAAATCAGTGAGGTCCGAGATCATAGGATTTATGTCTCAGGTACCTACAATCCTGTGTCTAAGTATCATTTTTACATGCTGTACCCAAGTATGACTTACACTTGCTCCATTGAGTTTTTCTGTGGAACTGTACTTATAATTTATTTAGATTATTTTAAGCTTTACACTGGCCTCTCATTAATAAGTGGTCCTGAACACACACTGAAGCTCCTATAAAAATAACTTATCAGGAGATGAAGCTGGTGATGGGAAAGCAGCAGAGAAGCCATGTTAGGAATCTTTCCATTAATAAGACCTGGAAAGGGTTATGCACTTTATAAAACAGAAGGGAACATATTCCCAGTTTTTTTTTAAAAGCTAAACTACAATGGACAAGTAAAACCAACTATTCCATAGTAACATGCCATAAAGCATCAAATAAAATTTTTAGGAATCTGCAGATGCATATAACCTGTAAGTTAACTCTTACATGCTCTAAGCTCATCATAAGAAAGACTGAAAGTCTTGGAAATTCCCAAACAAAAAATTCACAAGGTTTTACAAGTGTTCTATTCTCTTCAAACTCACTTGGCCAAACCAACCCTATGATCAAGTATCTCAAAAAGCATTTAATTGGGGCTTATCTCTAATGTGATCTTTTCATCGCTGTAAATCAGGAGGTATAAAAAACCCTTCCAATATACACAATCCAACACAACCCAGTGAAACCTTGGGGATGGGAGGAGATATGAAAGACAAGTACCTCGTAGTTTGAGAGAAAATCTAGTAACTCTGATTGAGATGGGATGTAGAGAAGTGGTTTCATCACCCGGCGGACAAACTTCTCAATGTAAACAGCACTCATGGGGCCTTTGTATTCGATTGGTCCAAAACTAGTACCAAAAAAATAAAAATAAAAAAATAAAAATAATACACCATGCATTAAACCTGTAACGTATAACTGAAATCATCAACCACAAGACGATCCTGACTGCTTCACAGGTGAGTAGCCTTCTGTGTCCCGGGAGGTGAACGGAGGGCCTGAGAATAGGCATCTCGTGTGCCAGGTGGCACAAGCAGCCTCGACTCTCCTGTGAGCTTAATTCAACTGCAAACTGAACTTCAAAGAACATTCATCCTAGCCTCTGGGGGGAAAAGAAAAATTCTCATAATAATATTTCTTTAAAAAACAAAACCAAACAGGGGCGCCTGGGTGGCTCAGTGGGTTGGGCCTCTGCCTTCAGCTCAGGTCATGATCCCAGGGTCCTGGGATCGAGCCCCGCATCGGGCTCTCTGCTCCGCGGGGAGCCTGCCTCCACCTCTCTCTCTGCCTGCCTCTCTGCCTACTCGTGATCTCTGTCTGTCAAATAAATAAATAAAATTTTTAAAAAAAAAAAAAAAAACAAAAAAACCAAACAGAAAGGCGATCCTGGCAACTGACCAAACGCTAACGGATTCCAGGATCTTAACTACATAATGGATGGTGGGGGGGAGGGGGTGGCAGACTTTCTTTTGCACATCATTCTGAAAGAAAAAACAAGCTGAGCAATTGGCCCCTGGTCAACTAACATGTACCTATTAATATTCCCACAGGCACTTACACAAAGGATCACTAAATAACCTGAAACCTATTCAAAACTTGACTTTAACAAAAAAAGATTATGGGAAGGGACAAAGTTAGGGACCTGAAAAAATGATCTTATTTCCCTTCCAGGTGTGCTTAAGGATACACAGGAATATGATTTACATTGCTAAGAAATAAGACCGACTTTCAGTGACCCTCCTAGTAAGCTAAATCAGAATCCTCACATGGCTTTCTTCAGTCCTGCACAATGTAGACACTACTCAAATACAACTGAATGGAATGTGGCAGGGTGGGGGAGTAAGGTAAAATTTAGTAACTCCATAACCATCCTTTTGTCTAAACAGAAACTGACATTAAGCTTCCTGTTAATAGCAACAATAAACAGAGCACAGTAAAAAATTACATAAATGCTGTTATCCCAATACTATATGCTAACATAAATGCACACACACACACACACACACACACACATATAATGGGATGAGATATACACAATTCTTCTGGGTGCACTGAAAATATGATGCCAAACAAAAGAATGTTAGCATGAAAAAAGTAAAAATAGCGCTCTACATGCACAGCTGGAAGACAGAGTTAACAACTCTATCAATTCAAGACTTACGTAAGTTTAAAAATTACCACCACCACCAACCCCATCAGCCACCAACAATTTTTAATTTAAAGGAAGAAATCAAGGAGCACCTGGGTGGCTCAATGGGTTAAGCCTTTGGTCTTAAGCCAAAGGTCTACCTTTGGTCAGGTCATGATCCCTGGGTTCTGGGATCGAGCCCCACATCGGGCTCCCTGCTCGGTGGGGAGCCTGCGTCTCTGCCTACTTGTGATCTCTCTCTGTGTGTCAAATAAATAAATAAAATCTTAAAAAAAATTAAAGGAAGAAATCAAAAAATCATCTGATAACATATTTTGTTCAGCAAAAAGGAGGCAACAAATCTGGAAATGTCATCTACTCAGGCAAGCAGACTCCTGGAGTGTCATTAGAAGGATCCCAGCGACTGGTAGAAGTTGAGAAGATATGTAGAATGTAGGTCTAGAACACATTTCACCAACACACCACAGTCACGACCACAGGACAAGCTGATCCAGGGCTGCTGAGCCTTGTAACAGAGTGTTAGAAGAAACCACTCCCTGCCTCAGAACCTTTTATAAACTTTCTGAGTGAGTGGTTATCAATACGAGCAAAAAAAAAAAAAAATGGTATCTACTTAAAAGCAATACAGAAAGTCTATTAATTTCTCTAAGCAGCGAGTAGTAAGTACGCCATTACAAACACAGCAACAACAACAAAAACACACAGATGGGGGTTCTGGGTGGCTCAGTGGGTTAAGCATCTGCCTTCAGCTCAGGTCATGATCCCAGGGTCCCGGGATCAAGCCCCGCATCAGGCTCTCTGCTCAACAGGGAGCCTGCTTCCCCCTCTCTCTCTGCCTGCCTCTCTGCCTACTTGTTGCTGTCTGTCGAATAAATAAATAAAATCTTTAAAAAAAAAAGCTTTAAAAAAAAAAAAAACAAAACCACAAAGACAGGATTGGTCTGTCTGCCCCGTGATGAGGCTGAGGGGCCACATCGGTAAGCACGATCAATCAAGAGAACCTCAACACCACTGAATGGTCACAAAAGAGTTTAGTTAAAGAAACGCATTCATTCATATGTGTTATGGATAAAACAGAGATTCTTAAATAGGATATGAAAAAGCTACCTCTCAGGTATCTCTGTGCCTTAACACTTGCTTGTTTTTGGTACACTGAGAATGGGGGATACTGAGTCTGAACGAACTGAAAAAGTAAAACCTAATGGGCAAAGATGAGGGGCGAGCACTTCGAGGAGACTATCAACCTCAAACTTCTCATCTGTGAAATGAGAAGGATGGACTAGATGTTTCTAAGGTTCCTTGCACATCCTTTCAATCTTTCCATAAATCTAAAAAAACAAACAGTATAAGACAATATACTGCAGAGCCATATAACCCAAAAAGGTATTTTGTACTTGATTCAAGGGAACTTTCCTGATTTTAATATCACATCGAATCAGGCCCACCTCTGGGCAGTGGCTCGGTTATCTACAGTGGCAAGGCCTATACTAGGCACTCATGCCCTATTTCCTATCTCCAAATACTGTCTATTTCCAAGAAGAAAACTGCAGGGACCTTCGTAGGGCAAGCTTATTTATGCCATTACAGAGCACAGAGATTCAGCATCTGCAAATGCAACAGTTCACACTCTGAGAAGTACTCTTGTATCCCGAAAGGACGTTGAAAGTGGAGATGGAGTGACAAAGTGCATTTCTGCTCAAATATTATTTAACAGCTCTTGAGAAACAATACTACATATGCCACACAACATTTTATGTTAGAAACATGAGGCGTGATGGAACGTGACAGATAACCCACAAATGAGAGGTTGATGTTTCTTATAAACCCTCATTGATTAAGGCCTAGGAAGTTCAGAGGGAGGGAAAAAATTAAGCATAAAGAGTAAAGCTCTTACTAATGAAACATTCTTTACCCATTTACCTTCATTAACAAACTGCAAGCCAATTACATTGAACAAAGTCCAAAGTCTCATCTGTCTTCAAAATTCTCCAAGTCCGATTTCAGACATTACTTAACACTCACAGCAAGGTCTGGGCCGGATTCCAAAATCAAACACCAGTATTTCTGCAGCGTAATAAACTGGCTCCTTAAGTGGGATAAAGACTAAAGGCAGCCTCTTGTCACTTCAGACTAGGTGAGTGCACATGGGAACAACATTTATGAAAACCTTTTAGGTTTTCAAACCTCTTTGGATTTCAGGATTATGGGCATAGGACCGTGGACTCGTAGTTAAATTTTCTTCCCAGCTGAAAAGGTGCTAAAATTCCCTCCTGACTTAGGTATGTTGCCAGGTAACAGGATAAGGACCTTTGTGCATTTTCATACAGTAAAATACTTCAGAACGTCTGAAATGTGTAGCCACACAAAGGGGCAGGGGGCACTATCAAAAACAATGCCATACATTGTAATGGTATGAAGAGATGTTCACACAAGCAAGAAAAAGCAGTTTAGGAAATACCATTACTACACAATCCCATTTTTTTTATTTAAAAAAGAGGGTGGATCTGTATAGTCAGAAGAGGATATATCGCAAAACACATAATGATTGTGTACTGCTGATAAAATACCCAGATCCTTTTATTTTTGCTTATCTGTATTTTCTCCATTTCCTACAGTGAATATTTAATACTTTAAAACAGAAAAAAAATTCACTTTGGAAATTTACTGGAATTAGAAAACTAATTCAAAGTTCTTACCTCCGATGATACAGATATATCACAGGGAAATAAAAGAAGTGCTTCTGTTTTCTGCATTTCCCCTGGTTCCACCAACAGTTAATTGCCACAAACAACACCTGCAAAGCCAAAAAAGGTTTCAAGTGACTATGAATAACAACTGAAAAACCACCAAGATTTTAAAGATAAAATCACAGGAATGGAACTGTTCTTCTCCGAAACAGAAAGCGAGAAAAAAAAATTATCGCCAGTATTCAAAGAAGGTCATCATCTACCACCACAATAAACAAGACAGACTCTCATCTATGGTGTCTAGCTAGGATTCCAGTATTTTACAGTCTAGTCCAAGAGGGAAATGATTTGCTTTGAACTCTAAAGTGAATGAGCACGAGTGAGCTTTTTCTAAGCATGATTACACTAAGACTCAACGGAAAGCTATCTTTTGATAGTCACCAACTGAGCACAGGAGAAGGGAAAAAATGTCAGCTGCAAATAAAACATCACAATTATCAAAGGACCATTTTTAATGACCACACTAAAAACCAGTAAGAATAAGATAATTAAAGCTATGCTCTAAAATGTAGTATTAAGCAGCAAAAATACAAACTAAACACCTATTTACAGGTAGATGCTAAAGTATTTAAGGAGAAGTGTCCCTAGGTCTCCAATCGACTCTGAAATGTACCCGAAACCAGATGGGTCATAGCTTAGAGGAGCGCTCTTCCACTTCGGCACTACTGCCACCTCAGCCTTCCACTGTTACAGGGCTTTCCGTAGGTTTGTTTTGGTTGTGAGGGGCCGTCCTACACACTGGATGGAGGCTTTAGCAGTATTCCCGGACTGTACCCCCTGCAGGCTAGCAGCTCCCCCGCCTCAAGTAGTGATCCCTGAGAACAGCTCCAAACACTGCCAAAGGTCCCCTGGGGGGAGAAAACTTCCTCTAGGTGAGAACCACTGACTAGAGGAATAGTAAAAGGAATAAATGACAATAAAATGTCAGTAACAGGGGCACCTGGGTGGCTCAGTGGGTTAAGCCTCTGCCTTCGGCTCAGGTCATGTTCCCAGGGTCCCGGGATCGAGCCCCTGCATCGATCCCCTGCATCTCCCCTGCATCGGGCTCTCTGCTCAGCAGGGAGCCTGCTTCCCCCTCTCTCTCTGCCTGCCTCTCTGCCTACTTGTGATCTCTAATAAATAAATAAAATCTTTAAAAAAAAAGTCAGTAACATTTGATTTGCAGGTATATACAAAATTCCTTTACCTTTGCTATGTGAAAACATTTTCAGAATACTACTGAAAAAATATGAAGACTACAAATGAAAAGTCACCTTCAGAGGCCTTCCTTCCACGCTGGAAACAGCAATATTGCTTAAAACTTAGTGGAAGCTCTTCAGAGCTCCTTTTAGAGTCCATTTATGAGAAAAGAAAACAACAATATCTTTACTTAAGGTGACATCTCATTTTTTTACTCAAAAATAGGGCACAATCAACCATGTTTGCTAATTTTACGAAAGCCATGTGGCTCAAAAGATTTTTGCCTGTTTCCAAAAATAAACCCTCTCCTTTTCCCTAGTGAGAACACAGAATAATAAGCACTCAATTTGGAAGGAGCTGGAAAAAAAAAATTTGAAAAAAGCAGTGCCCGTTAGCTGTGGATGGCACTATAACCTTCACCACTTATCCTGTCATCCTTGGCCAACCGCTCCACCATCTAGGTCTGAGGTCCTGCTTCCAAGAACAGGGATGCCAGAACCAGCGTGCAGAGCTGCCATGAGAAACAGCACACGCCCCGGCACACCAGAGCGCCACTCTTGTAATCACTTGGGAGGATACAGCCGCTTCAGCTGACAACAAGGCAACAAGTGACTGACTCCCGCCCTAAACACAGTAGATTCCCTCCTTGCTCCCCCATGTTCTCTTAATTCAGAAGACCTAGGGAATGCCTGAGGAATGAAGTGGTGACATCTTTTATGCTAACCTATTGCTTGCCTCCCAGTGCTCCACTGGAGTTCCTGCTTCCTCCCTCGAAGTGTCTGCCAGTTTGGTTATTATTAGCCCTTTTTTTTCTTTTCAAGTTAGCTCTACTGCCCAATGTGAGGCTTGAACCCACAACCCCAAGGTCGAGGGTCACAGGCTTTCCCAAACTGAACCAGCCTGGCGCCCCTATTGCGAGCCATTTTTAAAGGGGGAGTAAAGGGAGCACAGGGAACTGATCGATCCCATGGGTCCAAAGTTAGAACACAAAATATCAACCCCCTCAGAACCAATGTCCTAGGCAATGAAGAGTTCTAATGAAGAGCCAGATTTAAACAGTACTTTGCACCGCATTCAGGGATCTATAATGGTTCAAAAGGCTTTGCTAGGTTGGGCAGAAAGCCTCACCAGCATTTATAACATTGTTTCTAAGAAAAACCTACCCAGAGTTCCAAAGAAACTTCTGGAACTCAGCTGCCTGCATCAGTTACCTCAGATGAGGGGTTTGCAGCAGCAGCATTTCAGAAATCTGGGGGATGCTCTTCTGGTTGCTGCAGTGACTGGGAAGCTACGGGCACGGGGTGGGCAGGCACTGTGGGAGACAGCCCGCAATGCTCGAAACTGCTCTGCACAGGGAAGAGTTATGCACAGCACCGGCAGAGGGGTCTGAAATGTCCTGCCCAACAATGAGGCTGGGGAAAACTTGTCTGTTATTAAGCTAACCCAGGACCTAATTCCATTTTAAATGTGAATCAAAAGCTTGTTTTTGGTATTCACCAAATTTCGTGGGAAGGCAACTCTTATGTAAACCTAAGTCAGAAAATACTTTATTTGGTTCCAGTCTTCACCAAGAGCTGTCCACCATTCAGGAAACTCAAATCAGTGAAAGCAGTGTCCCCACAGTACCTGAGTCTCTACCACAACACACCTTTACCAGTCTGCCCCCAGCAGTTCTCCATAAAGTGATCAGGACCTATTCTGCCTAAGCATTTACATCCTGAAACACACATGACCTGATTATATGTTATTTTTGTTTCCCCCCACTTTTATAATTAGTGGACTGACTCTTTAGCAATTATATGTGTACGGAAGTTTTATATCTATGAATTACTTTTCAGGACAGCAAAAGGCACCTCATAATGTAAAAAGGCAACTAGGATCCACTGGGTTGAAAACCACTGCCATACAGATGACCCATCGCCCATCCCTCTGGCCTAGCACAAAGGTATAGCTTCATTAAGTACTCAATGCATATAACTCTGCTCCATGTATTTTTAATAGGGCAACATGTTCCACTGTATTCATGACACATAAATGTGTCTTACAGCAGAGTACCTGGCTGGCTTAGTCTGACTCTTGGTTTCGGCTCAGGCTATGATCTCAGGGTAGTGAGAGCCAGCCTCGCATCAGGCTCCATGCTGGGCATGGAGCCTGCTTAGGATTCTCTCTCTGCCCCTCCCTACCCCTACCCCAACCCCATGTTCATGCACGCAGACGCGCACTCTCTCTCAAATAAATGATATGAACATTAGAAAAAAAGAAAAAGAAAAGAAATCATCAACAAATATCAAACAGAAATTCAACTACGCTTTTCAGCACTGAAGCCAAAGAGCATGGCACCCTGAGATGAATTGGTCTGCATCCGAAGGAAACACAGAATCTGCTCCCTCTCCGGTCTTTAACCAGCTATGACCCTCACCATCAGAAATCTTTTTTCTTTACAAAAGGCTTTACCATTTAAAAAGTGAGGCTCCTGGCCTTCAGCCTGGCTCAATCAGCCAGCCGGGTGAGGGGTCTCTGTGGGGGCAACCAGCCCCGCACACAGGGCTGACAGTCACCCGGGGCAGGCGGAGGGTCAGCATTACCTGGTCGGAAAGCTGGCTCGCTGTCTGCTCAATCTCTGGCCTGGCAGCGATGGACTGACCACACCACGGGGCGTAGAAGAACAGCAGCGCCACCTCCGAGTCCCGGCGAACATACTCTGCATAGTCCAGCTGCCCCTGGAAGAGGTCAAGAACCGGCGACCTCGAGGAGAAAAAGCTGACAGGTGGCTTTGCTGGTATTATCACGTCTTTTGCTCGACTAAAAAAGAGCAAACACAAACAAGTCTGCTAAGTTTATCTTCTTCTAACGACAGCTCTACATGGAGGGGGGATGCAGCTTAAAAGAAACAACTCTTGAATAAGAAAATGGAGTTCCCAAAATATCACCCTGGAGTAAAAACTAGGCTGTGTTAAGGCAGTATTTAGCTGAGAAAATGCAATACGTGCATACTGTGCTGAAAACGACTCTCTAATACTGTCTCCCCAGGTTGGGGCGGGAAGGCAGCAGACAGCAGAGGAGAAGGATTCTTTGAAGAATCCATGTTCTTGCCTCCTACACCCAAAACACCCCACCCTCATCTCTCAGCAGCCCGGCTCTCCACAGGAGCTGCTGGTCTCCAGGGCTTTGAAACAACCAGTGAGCTTGCTCAGAACTAAGGGGAGGGAACCCTCACGGCTACCACTAACATTTCTATGGGAAATTCTTACCATCTACTCAACTTTGCAAAAACATTATGCTTATGAGCTGGAGTTGGCCTGTACTTACACAGGGCATTCAGGCAAAAGTAATGAATAATAAGGTAGATTTCTCCAGATATATATTGGGAAGCCACTAAAATGGAGTTGGGAGGCCAGAAGGGGGAGCCAACACTTCTCCATGTCAATTACATGAAAAAATGATCAATTACAGACTCTAAGGGAGAATCTTCAACAGGAGAAGGACTATAAGCCCCAACTGGAAAAAGATGTAACAACTCCTACAAAAATACTGATGACTTCAACAATCAGCCACTGAAAAACTGTCATCCCCCCAAACTCCTGCATCTCTCCAATGGACTTTCACTCACAACCACCCCCTCCCATCTTCCTCCTCTGTAAAAGAATGTTGTTCTCATTTTTCTGTGGGACTTGCCTATGGTTTGCCACAGCCTGCATGTCCTGGATTGCAATTCTCTGCTGTTCCTGAATAAACCCATTTTTCTGGTAAAATAATTAACTGTTTAATTTTTAAGATTAACAATGTCATGATCCAGAGGTTATTAAGATGACTAACAAAGTAACAGCCCATTTTACCTGGAAAACAGTCTTCCTGAGTACCTGAAGTTCCCAAAAGGGAGAGATCAAGAGAAGACAGAAAAGAATGAATAAGTGGTCTGAAGTCACAAAGTGGCCACTATTTCTCCCATCAAGACAAAAACATCTTCGCTGAGGCTGCATCCCACCAGGTGAAATGAGCTTAATGAACATCTTGAGCTGTTCACACATCTGCGCTAACATGGCATAAAACTGCTACAGTAGTTTAGCCAAGAAACCAATAGAATAAAAACAGAGACCCTAGAACATATTCAATTAATCCAAAAGGCAGAAAAGAACCAAGGAAGGAACAAAAACCAGAAGGTAAAAATAAAACAAACAGCCAGAAGGCAGGATTACACCCAACAATATCAATCATTACATTAAATATAAAAGGACTAAACCACCCAGTTAAGAGAAAGAGAATACCAGACTGGATAGTGAAGCAAGACTTACCAAATGCTGTCTAAAAGAGACCCAATTTACACATAAAGACATAGAAGGATGAAAGCATAAGGATGGGAAAAGGTAAATTATCTAAATAGTATGCATAAGGAAGCTGGTGTGACTCATTAAGTGAAAGAATAAACTGCTATATATTCTTATAATTAAATGTTACTCAACAATAAAGAACTGATACATACTATAACTGGATGAGTTTCAAAATAACTACACTGAAGAAGCCAGACAATAAAGAATACATATAACATGAATGTATCTATGTAAAATTCCAAAACAGACAAAACTAATCTATAACAAAATAATCACATCAGTGGCTGTCTAGAGTGCGGACTGGGGCAAGGAGACTGGCTGCAGAGGGGTACTGAGGAAACTTTCTGGGGAGAAGAAAACATTCTCTATCTTCACTGAAAAGATGTGGGTGGTTAAATTTATCAAAAATCATCAACCTGTACACATAAAATGTGTAATTTAACTGAATGTAAAATATACCACCATGAAGCTGATGAGAAAACATCTTGGCTGGTGTGTCTCCTCCTCTGACAACTCTACCCAAAGGATGAGACCTCATTTTTTTCTCTCAGCATCCTGTTGGTTGCTTTTATACCCCCCCCCACAATTAGCAACTTACTTATTTTACCTATGATCTATTTACTTTACCACAGCATTAACTCCGAGGGCAAGAACCCTCTCTTTTTCACTGTTAGATCCTCATTGTTTATGGTTCCTGGTCCTCTGAAGTTCAATAATTTGTGAAACCAACAAACCGACCCTCCTATCTCACCTGAACATATGCAAAGGCAGATTTAATATAAACCCACACAGAGAGACATAATTAAGAACACTCAGAATCAACGTGTCAGAGGCCCATTTGCTTTACTAGGGATGACCCTAAAGGCCACATCATTATGTTCTATGCTCACATATGTGTTCAAACAAACCTGACATTCTGGCTTCTCAGAATACAGCAAGGTAGCAGGAAGGAAGAACAAGAAGGAAAGCGCTGCCAGCTCTGAGACACCCAGTAGACAGACAGGTACTTAGAACCCAAAAGGAAAATGTAAACACCCCAAGACCCAACCTCCTCTAAGAGGCGTGGGTCATTTAACATAAAGGAAAGAATCCCATGCCCTCCTCTGCATCTAGAAGGTGTTAGCGTCCTGAATTAAGACAGACTTAAATACGTTGCTTCCCTATTTTAACCCAAAACTATTAATATCATAAAGTAGCAGTAGCGAAAGAGCCAATCTCCTACTTATCCGCTCAAACTACCATTTTAACACTGCAATCAGAGAGCTCTGTCTATGCAAAAGATCTCCAGAACCTGAAAAACTGAGTCACTTATGCAGTAATTCGAAAAACGTTCACTGAGCAAATGGGAGTATGCTTCAGCAACCGCCCTGCGGGCACCCAGGTGACAGCAGCAGCACCATAATGTTCTCAGGGGGTTACTTTCTCAAGGAAGACAACAGGCAAACAACCGAACACACACACAACAAACCAAAGCCCACAAAAGGATCACCGCTAAGTGGAGAATTTTTTTTTTTTTTAAAGATTTTATTTATTTATTTGACAGAGAGAGATCACAAGTAGGCAGAGAGGCAGGCAGAGAGAGGAGGAAGCAGGCTCCCCGCTGAGCAGAGAGCCCGATGCGGGGCTCGATCCCAGGACCCCGAGATCATAACCCGAACCGAAGGCAGAGGCTTTAACCCACTGAGCCACCCAGGCACCCCTAAGTGGAGAATTTAACAGGGTGATGTGACAGGGGATCTTTTAAAGCAGAAACCTGAATGACAGGCAGCCATGCAGAGAGATGAGGAAGGTCGTGCGTGACACGTTATTAAAAGCTCCAAAACTCCCCCTTTCGAGATGATTCTTCTCCCAGTCAAACTGCGTGTTGAGTGTGAAATAACACAATCTGAGGGAAAATGGAGATCTGTGACAGCCGAAGGGTAACAATCCACTTAGTATTACTGCCCCGCGTGTTCAGAGCTGTTCCTCAAGTACACTGGCCAGATAAAATACGTGGCCCATGGAAAAGCAAATATTAACCAAGGAAAAGAAACACCTGCCTCTGCCCCACCAGAAACATTCACAAGTTCCCGTTTAACTCTTAAACTTGCCACAAGTTTTTGAGAAACTCTACCTAGACCAAAGATTTCATGCAGCTTTGAACGCTCAGTCTGAGGTTTGAGAAACTCAAGAGCTGGTTGCAACTCCCAATTTTTCTGTGAAATGCATACCCTACACCTCCTTCTGAAACGGATCTGAAGCAGCTCTGATTTCACAAAACGCAATAAAGCAAAATGAATATATGCACCATACATATATAGATACACACAACTTTTTCCCTCCAAAATCAGGGTGAAAGCAAAGGGAGTAGGATGCCATCAAGGAGATTCAATGCCTAGAAAGGCAGGTAAAATAAAGATTAAAGGTCCCAAACGGCACAATTACTGCGTCTCTACTCCAAATCAACCTCTTTTATATTATCTGGTTTGAACTCAGCTAAGCAACCAACATAGAAGACAGCTGTCCCTTACTTTAGGCCCGGAGCTATTAATAAAAATAACATTTTGGAAAAAATCCTATTGTCCTCATTAACGCAACAATCTTAAAAAGTAAAACAGAGGGGCGCCTGGTTGGCTCAGTGGGTTAAGCCTCTGCCTTCGGCTCAGGTCATGATCCCAGGGTCCCGGGATCGAGCCCAGCATTGGGCTCTCTGCTCAGCAGGGAGCCTGCTTCCTCCTCTCTCTCTCTGCCTGCCTCTCTGCCTGCTGTGATCTCTGTCATATAAATAAATAAAATCTTTAAAAAAAAAAAAGGTAAAACAGAAAATGGGGGCCAGAAAGGTTCAAGTCTGTAACAGTATCATGACATCATTCAATCAAGTAAGAGTAAAAAATCAATCTCAGTCTATTGAAAGACTGTCCAGATTTGCCCGGGGCACAGAGAGAAGAGGGACAGGCAGGCAGCCGTTCACTGGGTCACTCCTATTCCGAAGCAGGCAGGGATCCTGCTCTGCCTGTTTCAACAATTGGATTTACACTCCTCCTCCTTCCTAAATTTTAAGGGAATTTCTTAGCTTTTTAAAGCCATATTCTTTCAGAACAAACACGAAGCATTATTTCTATAGGTGAACAAAGAGATGTCAGTAAGCCCTGGAGTGGGGTGGGGGGAACCTCTCTTCCTAATTTGAACCCAAAGACAGCTGGCAATTGTATGCTGTAAAATCCTCTCTATATATTTCCTTTGCACAGCAAACGATAAACAGAAAGGTTAAGAGCCTTGTTGTACCTGACAATAAAGGATTCAAACTCCAGCTCAGCCACTTAACAGGTGGGTGTGATTTGGGCCAAGTTTTGTAACATGACCAAAGCTCAACTCCTTCATCTATAACCTGGAAGGACTAGAGTACACCCAGACACTACTGGGGATTGAGATTTAAAAAGTCCATGCCAGGCTCTCAGTTTATGTATTAAAGGAATAAATGCACTGATGGAAGCTACAGTGCTCAAGGAAGCAGCTTCGTTCCCCAGGCAGCACCTGGCAATGTCCGCAGACATTTTTGGTTGTCGTATCTAGGGCTGTGTGCTATGGGATTTAGTAGGTACGTGGTATAGCTCAACACTCCACCACGGGCAGGACGGCCCCTCTGCCGGAGTGCCAAGGATGAGCAACTTCCTGGTTCCTGGCAAGTGATCAATGCCAGTTATCATAATTCTTTTCTCTTTCCACTAAAATTCCCAAACCTCTGACACCTCTCTGACAACAGAAGCCACACACTACGCCCGGTTAAGACATTCCAAGTTGCAATCTTCCTCTTGGCTAATACGCCAGTCCGCTGCAACAGAGACTTATAAATTGGGGAGTCCCAGAAGATACACGGAGGACTTGAGGGACCAAAAGTACTCCTGAAGTTTAAAGAACATGTTGTATATGGGTACCTTACCCCAAAGAGGTACAGTAACTTTAATTTTTTTCCTGTTCACTAAGGTCCAGCCTACCCAGGTCTTCTTTGCAGCTGCAGGAAAACACCCACCTCGTCCAGCCTTTGCACTTCTGGCTCCCTCTACCTTGGACACTCTACCCCCAATCTTCCCGGCGCTGGGCCCTTCCTCCTTCTGGCATAAGCTTCCTCTGTCTCTTGGTCACCAAGGCCTTTCTGCCCCACCCTCATCCCTTCTATCCCGGCAACATTTACAGAAGTCCTTTAAAATTATAGTAAATTGTTTACTTAAGCCTGTCTCACCCACTGGAAAGGGGGGTGGGATTTTTATCTTCAACGCTCACCCGGAGGAGTGTTACCCACCATAGCACGTGTGGATAAATAATCGTTAGATCGATTCTCGGATTCTCGAAGGGGTCTGGGACTTTAACAGTCGTGAATCATCACACTCGAGGCGTAAGGGAAACAAGATGGGTGTTAAAATGAGGGTCCCGCAGCCTGGGCACAATTGACAGGTGCGCCCCCCATTAAGCCCCAACAGGTGCTCAGAACCTGGCCCACTAACTTCGATGCTAAAATGGGACGAAGGAAGGGTCCCGAGCGGCACCCGAAAACCTCGCCTGGCCGCTGGCTGGCTGGCTGCCCGGGAGAAAGTGGCGGGCACGGCCGCAGGCAGAGCAGGGTCCGGTCGGTGGCTCCAGGAGAAGCCAGGCCCCACTTCCCCCGCGAAGGCCTCTCCAGCCCCGGACCCTGTGGGCCCCGAGCCGGTCCTGTGCCGCCGGTCGGGGCCCCGGGGCTGCGGGCCGCCTCACCTGCAGGTAAACTTGAGGGCGACGAGCAGCGCGCAGCCGAGGGCCACGGCCCCGCAGAGCAGCTCGGGCCGCCGGCGCGCCATGAGGGAAGCGCCGCGCAGCCCGCGGCGGAGCCGGCCCGCCGAGGACCCTCCGGCCGGGGCCGGGCTGAGGGAGCCGGAGCCCGCGGGGCCGCCGCCGCCGCCACCCTCGTCCTCGGCGTCGTCGCTGCTGCTGCTGCTGTTGCCGCCGCCGCGGCCTCCGCATTCCGACATTACATGCTCCCTGTCGCCGGCTTTATACCGCCGCCGCCGCCGCTTCGGGCCCGAGGGCCCGGCCCGGCCCGCCGCTCCCCAATCCCGCAGCCCCGCGCGCCCGCTAACCCGGACCCTCCACGTCAGCCCCACGGCCGCCGCGGTGCCCGCCCCCACGCAGGCGACTCCGCCCCCATCCACGGATTCTGCGCGGACGCTGGCCCCTCCCGGCGGCCCCACCTCCCCGGCGATCCCGCCTCTCGTTCACGGAGTCTGCGTGGAAGCCGAACCGCCTGACAGCCCCGCCCCCAGAGGGCCACGACCCTCGCTCACGGATCCGGCGCGCACTGCCTCCCCGCATGCGCCACCTGCGGCCGCCAGCCGCTGTCCCACAGGCCCCGCCCTCCGTCCGCGGAATCTGCGCAGGCGCAGGTTGAGCATCCGGCCGGGCCACAGCGGCATCCTCCCAGCGCGGCTGTAGGGAAGCTCGGGCACCTGGCAGACGTCTCTTTCCCTGCTGAGTTTTAAATGCTGTGATGATGATGATGGCAATAGTGCCCTCGAGTCCGCACAGGCCCGGGGGGACATAGGTGCCGTGTATTATCCCCGCTTAACCTAAGGAGAATACGTGCAGGGACGAGAGGTGATCGGGGTCCCAGGAGTGAGGCGGGCGGGAGCGGTCCCTCGGCCTCGGTTTGCACGTCCGTGAAATGGGAGGTTATACCAGTACCTCTCACACACAGTTGTTTTGAGGATGAACGAGGTGATTTATGCAAAGTACGGGGCCCACAGTGAGGTCTCGCTAAGTCTGTTACTGTAGTCTCCCAGCGTCCACGATCTGCTTCATTTAAGCGGCGTGTGCCCCAGAGCCTCATCTCCCACCACCACGGCCCTTGGGGGACTGTCTGTGCTGCCTGTACTCACCCCACAGATGGCAAGAAAACCGACGCTTGGAAAAGTCACCTGACTGAGGCTGCAAAGCCAGCAGGTGGGGAATTCAGGCTCAAAGGCAGGCTGCCCCGGGCGCCGGTGACTCACTGCTGACTCTCCGACGTCTCTGGTTCTAAATGTGAGGTCCTTCCTGAAGTTTTGTGATTATAAAGGACAAGCCAGTAAGGGATGAAATGCGGTTTGAGAGTGACAGAAAGGAATTGCTTCCATAAGAGAGAGGGCCATGTGTATCTGGGGCGAAGTGAGGTCCATGATTACACAGCTGCTGGGGCCACAGATGACTGTGAAAGGAGGCAAATGAAACTCGGAGAGGACCAGGGCAGGGTGAGTGCCGGCAAAAAACAAAAAGCACGGGGGGGGGGGGGCACCTGGGTGGCTCAGTGGGTTAAGCCTCTGCCTTCGGCTCAGGTCATGATCTCAGGGTCCTGGGATCAAGCCCCGCATCGGGCTCTCTGTTCAGCAGGGAGCCTGCTCTCCCCTCCTCTGCCTGCCTCTCTGCCTACTTGTGATCTCTCTCTCTTGTCAAATAAATAAATAAAATTAAAAAAAAAAAAAAAAAAACAGAAGCTCAGATAAGACCTCACCTGTGCCCCAGGGCAGCTGCCTGAGCCTGGTGCCTGGCTTCCAGGAATGGAAGGTGTGGCTATCCTTGCCTACCTTGTTAGGGAGCTAGGACATTCCATGTGTCAACGGCTGAGGCCCAGTACGCTGGCAGTTTATTGACACCTACCAGTTTTGCTCATTGTTTTATAGCTGTCATGTCCTTTTTGTTCCTTCTTTACTTTGTTCATTTGTATTAAGTTGGTATTTGCTAGTATCCCATTAATTAATGGTTTTAAACCTTTCTTTGGTTATATCCTTAGCAGTTGCTCTGGGGATCACTATATAAATTTCTTCCCAGACTTTCTACTTCAAATTATACTACTTTTTTTTAAGATTTTATTTTATTTATTTGACAGAGAGAGAGAGACAGATCACAAGCAAGCAGAGAGGCAGGCACAGAGAGAGGGGGAAGCAGGCTCCCCGCCGAGGAGAGAGCCTGACGCGGGGCTCGATCCGAGGACCCCGAGATCACGACCCAAGCCGAAGGCAGAGGCCCAACCCACTGAGCCACCCAGGCGCCCCAGACTGTACTACCTTAAGTGCAGTAAGAGACAGAAGCTTCTCCAATGTAGCTCTGTTTCCTCTTCCCGTCCCTGTGCTCTTTCACTTTTTCATCTATTATATTACAAACTCGGTGATACAGTGTTTTCGTACTGTTTTACATAATCTTGTTTTTATAGACACTGAGAAAAATTGTATTTCTAGGTTTTTTAATATTCACCCTATTTACCATTTCTAGTCCTTCTGGATTCGTCCTTGTACATCTGAGTTCACCGGTGTATTACTAAGGAAAACAAATACAGCCAAAAGTCACCAGTGTCCGTTCACTGTGGGTTGCTAGGACAGAATTCACCCTACACTTCTATAAGACGCCTGTTACTGGCACAGGCCTTGATAAGGTCCAAAGAACTTGTGCTGCCTGGGGGTTCTCTCTTCAGACCCAGAATACCTTGTGGCAATGCAAGGTGACACCTCATAGGCCAGGAAATCGCCCTGGATTTTAAAAAGGCAATTCATTTCCTCTTCTCTATCTAGACATCTGGCTGTTGCTCTGACACCAGAACGTGCTTCTGAAACTGATAAGTTCATTTCTGAATACACCAGGCAGTCAGGGTCAGGCTGTACTGCCCTTCAAGGCCAAGTCAGCCATAACTTGTCCACATTGACCCATATCTGAGCTTTCATGGTCACTTTTTATGCCATGATCAAGTTGCTGGAGTTTGAGAAGGGGGCGGGGAGAGCATATGTTACTCCTGTAAATCCTTTCTTAGAACCACAGAGAAATAATGCTCATTAACTTTTAAAGCTTCTAAGCATTTACTTAGCAAACAGGATGTGCCCGAGAAGGTACAGGTTGGCAGGTTCTGCAGGAGGGAAGCCTACGCCCTGAGCCTGGGCTGTCTGGACAATGGTGGCTCTGCTTCTTGGAAACCTTGTATCAGGAACCCAGAATTGGCCTTCTAGAAATTGGTATTCTTCCCCTGCAACAAATAATGAGAAATCTATATTCTGATCTCTCCAGGCCAACTAAAGTGATCCTCGACCACTCACAGAATCTCAAACTAAGTTTCTAGCAGGTATTCCAAAAGTTAAGACAAGCGACTTTTTTTTCTTTTTTTTTTTAAGATTTATTTATTTATTTGACAGACAGATCACAAGTAGGCAGAGAGAGAGGGGGAGGCAGGTTCCCTGCCGAGCAGAGAGCCCGACGCGGGACTCGATCCCAGGACCCTGAGATCATGACCTGAGCTGAAGGCAGAGGCTCAACCCACTGAGCCACCCAGGCGCCCGACTTTTTCATCTGTTAACTGAGACAGAGCACCAGAGACCGCTTTTTTTTTTTTTTTTAAGATATCATTTATTTATTTGATAGAGACACAGCGAGAAAGGGAACACAAGCAGGGGGAGAGGGAGAGAGAAAAGCAGGCTTCCCACGGAGCAGAGAGCCCGATGCAGGGCTCAATCCCAGGACCCTGGGATCAGGACCTGAGCCAAAGGCAGACGCTTAGCGACTGAGCCACCCAGGCGCCCCAAGACCACTTTTTAACATCTGCTTTTCTCCCTGGAGAAAGGAGTTTGGAAGAAAGTCCAAAGAAGAAAAAATGTAATGAAGGCCATCTTTCTAGACTAGACAGACCTAGTAGAAAAATAACATTACCAGTCTATTCTACAGAAAATGTCACCCATAACAGATTATCTATTTGGCAAACAAGACGCACTCCTAATGCATCCACCAAGTATGACTGGTCCCGACTGCCTTCCCACACGTGGAGAGAAACCAGTCTCTCATCTTCAAGGAGTCACAGGCAGCCTCTGGTTCTTCTAAATGTTCTCCTTGTCTCATCTCACTACCGACAGCTACGGCCTCCTCTCCACGGTTGTTGGACTCATATACGGGAACAAAGACCCTTTTTTGTTACCCCCCAAACCCACCCATTCAAGGTTGTCACGAGGAAGTGACTTTGCGTGAGGGTGTGGAGGCTTGGCACATCACAGCCCAGCAGATCCCTGCCTTCCAAATCCATCCAGCACTCCCCCCGACCCCCATCCCCAACAAGGGCACGGCCCTGGTAACATCCTCTGGATGTAACAGACCCCCACCCCCACCCCGCACCCTGCTGACAACTCTTCCCCCTAGCTCACTGCATCCCAGCCTCTGAAGCAGGTCAGGGTCCCAGGGGACATCTTAGCTCTGTCTCTGTTTCTGCCAGCCATCCTGACCATGCCATCTGTGGTCTCTGAACAACCAAAACGGCCCTACTGAAGAGTGTCGTGCCAGTCCTCTGTAGAAACCCACGTCCCATGGCCCACGTCCTAGTTGGCTGTCTATCTCCCTGCTAGTCATACATCTGAATGAAACACAGAAGAGCCCCAGGAGAGTTACCATGTCACTGAACAAGAGAAGCTGCTGATCAACCCAAATCTGGGAGAGAGCGGGACAGAGTGAAAAGTCACTTTCGTGTCTAATTTGCATACTGTCGCTAATTGCTTAAGTAAAGGTGTTTAAAAACAAACAAAAAAAAACCTTGTGATGTTTAGGGCCCAGTTTCAACAATTCTCTGGGGGGAAAGGACCACACCAAAAAATGAAAGACATCTATATAGAAAGTGTTTATTACAGGCGATATTGGTCCATACCATACACTACACAACACCAACAGTACAAGTGTGATCTCTCAAAATCATCATTTAAACAGCAAAAGACCAAGAAATAAAATTTGAGTCAACTGATTATTTTTCAAAATAGTCTCAATGCACATTATCCTTAGTTCCCTTATTATAGTGAAACATACAAATACAGAAAAATACCCCATTTAACATGTACTAGTGTTAAATGGTTATTTGGCTTAAAATCTGAGTTAAGAAAATCCTTTTTAGCAACCTACATACAGATAAGTAGCAAACTTTATTATATTAAACAATTTTGTTCCATTTAAAACGTGAAGAATTTCATCCATCATGTCTTCTGACCCCTAGCGCAAGTGTCTATACTCTCTCCCCATGATGGTTCTTATCTGAAGGACCAACTCAAGGAGTCGTCTTAGACATA